AGTATGTGGCCGTCGGGAGGTGACATGCTGCTGGGTGGGGTGGGGGGGGGGGTAAGTGGGTGCGGGCGGCCGGCCTGGGCACCCGGGTGGGGCTGCCGAGTGTGCTATGTGTCGATGGGAGGAAGAGGGGATGTCCAATGTATCACCGACTAGCGGGCCAAGGGGAGGACAAGGGCGGGTGTGGAGCTCGTCCATTGCGTGTCCATACCGACGCAAACGTGTCCCAAATTTGGGCCTGAAATGGGTCACACACGAACAAAGACGGACGCTGGTCCATTTGCATCGGCGCATTGGGCCGAATTTTGTGTCCGTTTTAACCCAAATAGGCACACACGGACAGTTTGGGTAGGCGCATTGGAGTTGCTCTAAGTGCCTTGTGCAATTAATGGATATCCGAAGAATTGTGTGGGCTTGCAATCTGTTGCATCAAAGCAGAGATCGACACACTAAAGCTTCGCTTGCGGTGGCAGCACTGGATGGAGGCAGAAAGGCCATGGCACGGCCTTCACCTCCTTGTTGCCGATGCGGCAACTGAAAGCATTTTCAACGCCTCTGCACGCAATCATTCATACGTATAAGCGATGGCAAGCTCATTAGATTCTAGCGTTACCGATGGCTCCTGAAGATGCCTCTTGCTACTGCTATTCCTACCCAGGAGACGAGTCAAAAACATAAATCAATGGATACCACTATGTTTAGACCACATGGTCTTGTGACAGGGTTTACCCATCTACACATACAGAACACCATAACATTAATTGGTTCCGATGATAACAGAACTCTAGCGACACAAAGCGAACGGTTCAGAATGCAGGACTGATAGCCAACCACCAACAAAACACTATAGATCATACTACTACTAGTATTAGGAGCACGTTATAGAGGAAGCAATATTAATACTACTAGTACTCGAGCAGCTGAGGATGGAGGTCCCAGCACCAATGGACAAGAAAACATCGTCAATACTTGCAGCGATCGTCAGCTCTACAACCAACGTGACATCACACAGGCAGAGGCCTTCGGCGACCCAGAGGCCATTTCTGAAGTGGCAAATGGATGTCCCTACGACCGACGTAGCGTGGCTCAGGCAACGGCCATCTGTCATGAGCAAGAAAGTACAAGTCAATGAAGAGATCTATTCTAAACGATGTTATAGATAGATATTAACATGTCTAAGAAAGAATACTTGTTTCCATCAGTTGCTGCAATAGATTCAGTGTTTCCGTGTGTCCCACCAGGAAACATCCATCTGTTGCTGAAAGTCATTTCAAAAGGCATAAGAGTTACTGAATAAATTATTTCAAACAATTCCGTACTTAAGAAAGAATACCTGGTTTCAACACCCTCGACAGTAGTATCATCTGCACTAGCCGTGAAACTACACCCAAAATCAATTTTACCACGAGGAAACAAGTTAAGTTTAAACCAATGACATACCATCTTAATGCATTAAAAAATAGAAAAGGATAAGAGCACGATGAGAGGGTGCAGAGTATGATAATGGTAGATAACAACAGAACACACTGATGAATTAAGTTATTGGAATCATGTACCATTACATCACTACATCAGTGCACAGTATTATGCTTCGGGGCACACACAAGTTGTCATATCAGCCCAAAATAATTGAGCCAAAATTATGTTTAAGTGAAAATGATTGAATGATGTGAAAACTAGAGATGAATATACAGATAGGACAACAACCCTAAAACCTACAAGCTTCTTTTTTAAGACATACCGTGTTTTATTGAAGTTCAATAAGAGGCGGTGAATAACATCCCTCGGCAGGAACGGAGTTTCTTCCTCATCATAAAAGTTCATTCCAACAAAATTCCCGTCATTGTCAATAAGAGGCCCCCCAATCCCAGCCTAGCAAGATAAAAGGAACAACATACAAGAGTTCAACAAAAGGAACGCTAATAACTTTTTGGCATGTTAGAGGAACTGGGGAGGTCCACAAGAAATACCTTGGTGATTACACAGGTGGAAACACAAAGTTCTTTGCAATCAAGTTTGCTTTGTTTGCCAATCAACACCTTCCCCTCAACAGCCATTAGTTTGCGACGCGCAAAAAGACTACCCATAGCTATTACGTCCATAGATGAGGTAACTGGATGCCCATGGATTTTTATTGTGCGAGGACGCCAGAATCCCATGATGTCAACAAGAGCAACATTGTAGTGTAAATTATAACAGTTCAATATCCCTACAACTCGAAATCCGCCTGGAAGGCAAACTTCAATCTGCAATAATAAGGTTATGTTAATAACCAGTATCTGAAATGAAAATGCAAAAAAAGAATGATACTAGCAATTAGCAGTAACAACCCATAAGTTATCATCAATCATGTGTGCACTGCCAGGAACTCTAACCAAACTTGCTGAAGTCAGAATTGTTGCAGAGCATTTTTTGCCCTTTACAAATACACCTGTGCAAGAAAACTTCTTTGCAAATCCTACAGAGATAGTCATGTCAGTTATCAATCATTGAACAATTAAAAAAATGGAAAAGTAAGGACTGTATTACAGAGTCATCACCATTGAATGAGGCAAGTGAGACAACACTACGATCCATTTCTGAAGCAAGACGTTTGCTTGATTCTGAAGCAAGTGAGTAGGCACTCCGATCCATTTCTAAACCAAAACCTCCCAATGGTTTCCTCAAGATATCCTTCTTGAACATATCATCGAGAAGATTTATGTATTGCCCGCCTAGCATGATACACAAGTTAAAAGTGTTTCATAAAGTTTTCAGAGTGTGCGCATGCAACATAAGGTACTCAACAAAGTAAGTAAAAATGGACTGGCTGCCAAGGGGTCACCCTGGCCATTGTAGTTTCAATATGTAATCCAAGAAAATTGGAGTGTGATGGTGATGATCCATCTTCCTTCTTCCACCGCACCATTTCGACATCTTGTTTAAGGGTTTGCCAATTATGTCATATGAGTATTCCTCAGAGTTTTGATGTTTCTATATCATCTTGTTTTCCTATCTACAGGTCAGTTTCTGTGACCGCGGATTTGCAGACTGATGTGCCACATGCATGATTCAATATATTTTTATGATTTCCATAGCAACACGCAGGCATTCACCTGGTTTATCAAATAAATAAAATTGTGAAGACATAATGCCAGTACTGTTTAGTCAGTATGTTTTTTCTATGTACTAACAGTATATGACCACACACCAAATTAATGGATAGGATCCCATAATCTCCCATTCAGCCTCACAAATGACCATGGACCCAGTATGAGGAACACAATCTAACTTCCCGTCTCCACTTAATTCCTCCCTGTGGTTCAACGGGACAGCCACACCTCTTGGGTCCAGGGCTCTCATTCTGGCTTACAGCCAATATCAATAAATTTGCTCACCTGCTGCCACGAGGAGACCTGGGTCTCCAAAACGAATTTTAATTCTTGCACTTGCAGCTTCGTCAACCTCTTCGTTAACACTGCAGCACAATGTAGAAAACTCACTGTGATAAATCCAAAAGGATAATATATCAAGAGACACACACCATGCACAAAATTAGAGTATTAAACAAGGGAAATATAGAAAAAGGGAGCACCAAATAGTTGCATATATTTTACATCAAAAATTTAATAAAATTTTAAAAAAATTCTCCATGGGTCTGTTTAAATGCAAGTTTAGAGTGTAGCAGAAATATTTATTAGCGCCAGATTAATATAACAACCGTAATCTAGTACATTGCAAATGCAGCTTGTTGGGTACAGGAAAAGAGATGGTCAAAGATGCAGAGCAACAGGAGATGTCAAAAAAAAAAACACAAGTACAAAATTGCTAATGAGCAGTTTTGGGGATAAATTTGTAAACCTCGAAAGCTGCTCTTTGGCGTACAGAATGATACACCTTACACAAACTCAAATAGAAATAGGGCAGGGAGATGTACTGTAGGATGCAGTCAGAGAGAAGAAACAGAGTGTGGTTCATCAATACTGAATGTGCGCATACCTGACCATCCCGCGAAACCACATGAATTCACGAATTGAAGGCCTTCGTACATAGGGGGTCTTTCGTTCTTTGGTACCAGAGTAGTTCATCCCAACAAAGTTGCCATCAAAATCAACAAGGGGACCTCCAATCCCCACCTACCACAAACATGGGGATAAAGTTATGCATGAAAAATGCAATTCATAACGCGTGAAACTAAGGATATGCATCAGCGCATACAATGATAGAATATAGATTAAGCCATTCATACCGTCAAACAGTTATTTATTTGAACTATACAAACTAAAGCAGCTAGCTCACCTCATGGATTCGGCATGTGCTTAACATCCTCTCATCGGTACGAGCAAATACAGAGGCGAGATCTACTCCGCTTCTGGTATTTAATTCTCCTGAATCATAATAGCGCCATACAGCTGCTACCTTCCTATAAGGCTCAAACTGCGTGGCACGATCAAGACTTAGATGATATAGATGGGTGGGATCAATAACATCAACGTTCTTGATTTTGATGATGAAAAAATGAACATATAACTCAGGATTATCTATCCACCCAGTGACAATCTGATCATCGGGAAGGCGCACTTTAATCTGAAATGAGCACAGGGCAATGGCTATACTGAATTAATCATTACAGGTGCAGCGTATAAATCAGCATAATTAATAATCAAGAAAAGGTTACCGTCAAACTTTCAGTGATCTTCCTTCTAGGGCAAGTATACGGAATCAAAATTATCGATGTCAGGAAACACGTGGCATCAGGACATGAGCTTTCGATGCATGTGCCTGTGCATTCGCGTAATTTGGTATCACCTGGAGAGGGAGAGAGTCATACGTGCGAACTGAATACCTGAACTTAAAACAAGGTAATATGAGAAATTATTAACAGTATAATCACCAACCATCGAATGAAGCAAGCGACACAACACTCCTCCTCAATCTTGAAACTACTTGCTCGCTGAGTTCACTCAGGGTCCCTGGACTGGATTCACTCGAGCTGCCGGATATCGGTAAGGAGCTTGCTTCAGTGAGTTCAGTCGAGGCGCCTGGATTGGATTCACTCGAGCCGCCCCATGTCGCTACGGAGGTACCATCCAAAGCTAGTTAATTCAAAATAGAATCACGTGTCATGCAGTTAACAGAATCGTCGATTTTATCATTATGAATGTGCACGTTGCAGGGAACGGGAAACAGGCATGGACTCACTTGGCCTAGTTGCTCTTTTGTAACGGCGTTTTTGCTCTTGATCGCCTCTCATCAGACGGCGCTTGTTTTTCATCATCGACCTTTAATTGCAAGCCAGCCTGAATAGGATAACAAGGATCAATTTTTTTTTAATTTTATTTCTTTTGCGGGAAGGAACAAAATTTCGACAAACACTGATTGATCGCAAAGCCAGCAAGCGAAGCGGAAGCGCACAGCAGCAGCAAGCACGGGAGGAGAGCAGGGATTGGGGGAGAAATTACCTTGCTTTGCTCCTGGCGACACCGCGCTGGTGCCCAAGTCGTTAGGGTTCCGTGGCTCCGTGCGTTCGTCGATCGGTGCGTGCGTCCGCTATGGTTCTTTTTTTTTTAGGGTTGTCCGCCAGAGTGCTTGACCGAGCCGCTTCGGTTATTTTTTTGAGTGGCAGCGGATGGTGTTCACAACGGGCTCACGGCCCAAGTAACGTCATCCACCTAAACACACGACAGAAAATTCTTATCCCTTAAAAAAACGGCCGAAAATTCTTTTTTTTTTGTTTTTCTTCCGGCATCCTGTCTTTTTCCTTGTTTTTTTCTTTTTCATTTTACATTTCATTAACTTATTTTCAAAATCATTTTTTTAGAATCAAGAACAACTTTTAAATTCTCATAATCTTTTTCAATTTTGTTAATATTTTTTTATTCGTCCGCAATTTTTGTCTTAATGAATTTCATAAAATGCAAAAAATTTAAGTTTTGCAATTTTTTGAATTTGTGTGCTTTTTAATTTGTGAATTTTTCCCAATTCATGATCTTTACTCAAATTCATTAGTTGCTTTGAATTCTGGAACTTTTTTCTGAATTCGTGAACATTTTTTAATTTGCGGACTGTTTTGGACTCTGTGCACTTTTTTCCAATTAGTGGACTTTTTCGAATGGGAGACCATTTTTGGAAATGGCGAACCTTTTTCAAGCTTTTGATTTTTCTAGTTTGATAATTATTTTTTTCAAATTGATAGACTTCTTTGCTTTCGCGAGAGGCACGGCCGGAAACCAAAAAAACACGTTTTTTGTTTTTTTTCTTCCGCGAGAAGCACGACTTTGCTTCCGCGAGAGGGACGGTTGTGCTTTCACGAGAGGCACGGCCGTGCTCTCTTAAACGAAAAAAAAAACATGTTTTTTTTGTCTTTTTTCCTTCCGCGAGAGGCACGATTTTACTTCCGCGAGAGGCACGGTCGTGCCTCTCAGGAAAAAAAACACATTTTCTGTCTTTTTCCTTATGCGAGAGGCACGGTTTTGCTTCCACAAAAGGCATGGTTGTGTTTTCGTGAGAGGCACGAGCTGTACCTCTTTCGGAAAGGGAAAAAACCATGCTCCCGGTTCAATTTTTTCATACGGTTTTTTTGACCGGTTTTTTCGTGAAAAAAGTTCGTGAAAATTTATCAACATGTGATCTAGTTTTGAAAATCTCGACGCGAGAAATCGAACAGTGAAAAGGGTTCGAGATTTGAACGCATGGTTTAAGAGATAAAACCTTTTGAATAAACGGATCTATGAAAAAAGGAAAACTCACAGGTTGCGACAAGTGGCGCAAATGCAGCGCGCCACTTGTCAGAACCTAGGGAGGTGGGAGTGATCCTCAATTAGTGATTTCGCTGAATAGAAATTTATTTTTGAGGCAAGCCCAAAACTGAAGCAGGAACTAGTGGGCTGGTCCACGTAAAACGCCCCTTTGGGCGAAAGCCATCCCTCTCGCGGCTGGGCAGGACAATTTTTTTTTTAGAAGGCGGCTGGACTAGTTGGAGCAGAGGTCCACCCGTCGACGAACCCAGCGGCGGCCATTGAGCTTGTTTCAGAGGTATATCCTTCTCCACCGACGGGGAAATTTTGGCTGCTTGGTTTGTCCGAGATCGTATTCAAAATCATTATATCTTGGTTGTGTATGGGTTCTTCAACCAACCCAGCAGTTTCGTAGAGCGACTCCGCCACATTAATCCAGCGCCGTACCTAGGGTTTTTTATTTTTCTTGTCGTAGCTTCTTCCTCCGATCTATTGTACTCCTATATGGACAGATCCAATGTCTCCATTTTTTTGTCAACCATATCAATCAGTGTTTGTTGAATTTATTCCTTGTGTTCAGGGTTCAGGCTGGCTTGAAATTAAAGATCGATGACGAAAAACAAGCGCCCGCTGATGAGAGGCGAAGGCGATGAAGGGCAACAACGCCCTCACAAAAGAGCAACTATGTCAAGTGAGTCCATGTCTGTTTCCCCTTTTTTTCTGCAAGCACAAATTCATGATAATAAAACTGACGCTTCTGTTAACTGTTCCTCACATGATTTTATTTTCAATCAACTAGCTTTGCATCGCGCGAGCCAATCCAGCCCAGGCGCCTTGGGTCAACTCAGTGAGCAAGTAGTTTCAAGATTGTGTAGGAGTCTTGTGTTGGTCGCCTCATTCCATGGTTGGTGATTATACTGTTCATGCTTCGTCATATTATTACCATGTTTTCTTAATCATCAGCTATTTAGTTTGTCGTTTTATTTTCTCTGTACGTAGGTGATACCAAGTTAGGGGAATACACAGGCATATGCATCGAAACCTCACGTCCTACAAGTCTCGACTGGTGGATTTGGGGGATGGGTTGGGGGGATTGGAAGGCGAGATCCGATCCGCTGCGCTCGGGAGAAGTTTCGAATGGGAGGAATGGGGAGTCGAGAGGAACAGGAGAGGGGAGGCGAGACGCAACCGCACTGAGCACCCAACGGGTCTCGACCACGACACCACGACCAGGGGACACCTGGCGCGCGCATCGACGGTTTCCCCTGTTTCCACTAGAAACGCGCGTGACCGCGAGATGCGGATCGGACGGCGCGCAAGCCCGGCTGCTCTGTAAGACAAATTAGCATCCGCCCACTTTTTAGGATTTGGGATTTTAAAGAGGTTAATTGTGTACAATAAATATAAAAAATGTGTTAAACATGTATTATAAAATATTCCTGATATATATATAAAATGTACAATGCGTATTCAGTAAATTTTAATCATGTAAAAATATGTTTTGATGTATAGGTAATATGTACTAGTGGGTGTGTGGAAAATAAGACAAGTGGTAAAGGAAAAAGAAAGAAAAATGATAAAAGCCGAAGAAACCAAAGAAAAGAAAGGAGAAATTTGAAGAAAAACGGATGAGAAACTAAGAAAAACCAAACAAAACCAAGATACCGATGCAAAACAATGGAACAAAGTGAAAATAAGAGAAAACTGATAAAACCGGCTGAAAACCAAGAAAGATACAAAAAATGAAGAAAAAAAGAGGAAAAGAAAGGACGAAAAAGAAAAAAAAACCCCGAAGAAACCAGCCAAAAGTAAAAACACACACAGAGAAAACGCACTCAAAGACCCGCTAAGTAAGGAAATCGCTATACAGTAGGTAGGTACGTACGTGAGATATAGATGGGCCGGCCCAGTAATGCCTCAGGACGCGTATTTTCTTTTTGCACTGGTGATGATGGGAGGCCCAGCGTGGCTCAGTCCGACGACGCACGAAAGAAAAAACTAAAAGACCGGCCCGTGGGAGAAGCCGCATCCCACACCACCCAACCCTAATTGTCTCAAAAAAAAAAAACCACCCAACCCTAACCTCACACAGCCTCCTCCTTCCCCGTTCTCTCTCTCCCTCAGCCCGATCCCCTTCCTCACCGCCGGCCGATTTCGGTCGTTGCCACTCCTCCCCGCCGATAGCACCAACCTCCACGAGCTCCCCTCGCTCCACCTTCTCCTGTACAGCGAGGAATCCCCTCCTCTCCGGCGGATCCTGTGGCTCGAGGCGACGGCTGGCTAGGCCCGCGTGACGGACCCAGGCCGTGGGTGTGCTGCCTCTCCGTGCCGGTCCACCTCGGTCCCCGGTGACACTGCACTTCCCGGCGGGCGTCTCCTCCACCTGCAAGTCAGGTAGTGTCTTTGTCCCTCCACATACACACGTAAACATATTTGATTCCCTTCATGTTTTTATTCATCTTTTGGTGCTTGTCTCGTTGTAATTAACGACTAGTACAAGTGCCTATACGAATTGCAATTACTTAGTAAATTAGACCAGAGAAAACATATGTAATGAGCTATGGAAAACACTATACTGGTGGGCTCAGTTGGGAGAAGGCCTCTAATGCAATGCAATCATCTTTTCTCACAAATAAGGGCCTCTTTGATTCATAGGATTGCAAAAACACAAGAATAGTAAAAACGTAGGATTGGAATGGCATGACCATTGGATCCCTATAGGATTTGAGTTTGTTTGATTGTGTCATGGGAAAAACAAAGGATTTCTTTCAATAGGTTGGAGTGGATGTTAAAATTCCTGTGAAATGTAGTACAAATGAATTCTTAGGAAAAATTCCTATAGGATTCAATCCTACGAATCAAACGACCAAAGTAGGAAAAATTCCTAAGGATTCTAATCCTTCAAAGATGCTATGTTGTTGCTAGCAGTGCATTTATCTATCTTTAGAATGTTTGCTTGATGGACACCTTTGAAATAGTTCAAAAGGTTTTCAGTATTGAACTGTTGATCTGTTATGTATTTCAGCACCTGCAAAGCATTTTGGTCATCTAACAAACTGAACTAGCTACCTTGTACACTACATCAGCTTAATTAGGGCTCGATTATTAGAAACCTTGTACATAAGTAGACAATTGTTCCTCCGTACATGGGCATGGGCGATAAGGAAAAGCTACGCATGTATATGTAAGCTCATGAAGGATGCATGTCTTGCTACTTTGGGTATGTCTCATTCCATCGAGCTATGATGAGATATGCGTGTTTTTTCTTTTGCAATTTGAGGACACTCACAATGATGATGCATACATGTATATGACTTGTGATTATCTTTCTGAGTTAACTCCAATTCGGTGGCAAAATGAAGCATTGATGATCATATGCAAAGTTACGACATACCCGTATATGTAAACGGTTGACCTCTGTTTATATAGGTAATTTCAGTTTTTTTTTTGGGCCTCTGTTTACTCTTTCAATTAGTTTACCACATGTCCACACCACAAACACTTGAGTGCCATGGGTCAGGACGTAGTTTGTTGTGCTTAT